CATACTGCGATGCAGAAAGAGAGAATGCTCTCCACCTTGTGCAGTCCTTTCTTTTCTGCAGCCTTGCAGCCGGCATGCCATACTGCGATGCAGAAAGAGAGAATGCTCTCCACCGCACACCTCAATAGAGAGTTCAGGACTGTGATCCTGAGTCCAGCTTGCCTCAGCTTCCTGAGGAAATAGAGGTGTTTTATGGGCTTTTCTGATAAGTGACGATGTATTTACAGTCCAAGTGAGGTGTACACCCAGGTACTTGAAGCTGGAGACCACTTCCACAGGAGCTCCTCCAACATGCAGGGCAGGGCAGGGCAGGACAGGGGTGGGGGCTGTGTCTGCGCTTCCTGAAATCCACGAAGACTTCCTTACTTTTCTTTACGTTGATGCACAGATTATTAGATTATTTTTTTTTCCAACTGCTCCACCTCCTGTCTGTTTGCAGATTCATCATCATTCCTGATGCATCCCACCACTGCAGAGCTGTGTCAACCACTGCAGAGACGGCGTCGTCAGTGGATCTGTTCCTGCGATAGGCGTACTGATGTAGGTCCGCAGCGATATCACTCGAGTGAAAATGACTCTGTACCTTCTGAGTATATGCAACCATTGCCCTCTTCATGCCCGCTGTCAGGGCATATGCAGCCTTTGCCCCCTTCATGCCCGCCGTCAGGTCCCTCCTGGCCGCTCTCAACACATCTGTGTCACCGAACCTGAATGCCACATTCCTGGCTTGCAGCAGAGAACTAACCTCTGCATTCAGCCAGGGTTTCTGGTTGTTATAGATGGTGACCTTCTTTGTGGTGGTGACATCATGAACACACTTAGAGATGTAGCTGAGAACAGTCAGAGTTTCTGGCTGTTATAGATGGTGACCTTCTTTGTGGTGGTGACATCATGAACACACTTAGAGATGTAGTTGAGGACAGTCAGGGTTTCTGGTTGTTATAGATGGTGACCTTCTTTGTGGTGGTGACATCATGAACACACTTAGAGATGTAGCTGAGAACAGTCAGAGTTTCTGGCTGTTATAGATGGTGACCTTCTTTGTGGTGGTGACATCATGAACACACTTAGAGATGTAGCTGAGAACAGTCAGAGTTT